TGCACTGAGGGTGGAGCCTGATGCAGGGTTGGATCCCATGACCCTGAGATCATGACCTGAGCTAAGTCGAGTCAGACACTTAACCAACTGAGCCACCTAGGCACCCCATCCTTTGTTTTAAAGCAAATCCCAGATATCGTGTTATTTCACCTATAAATACTTCAATATATATCCTGACAAAGCTTTTTTCCATTTTTAAAAAAAACTTAACTACAATACCATTATGATACCCACCAAAAATAATTCCTTAATATCATCTAATACCCATTCCACATTCAATTTTCTCCCAAAAATGCCTTTCTACAGTTGGTTTGCTCAAATCAGGATCATCGGGTTGCATTTGGTTCATGGGACAGTCCCCTCTTCCACTTGTCACCCCATGCCGTTTGTTAAAGTATCTGTCATTTGTCCTGTAGAATTTCCCACTTTGTGATTCTGCTATTTGTGTCTTCATGGTGATTTGTTCCTGTAAACTGCCAGTTAAATGTAAACTTGATTAGACGGTTTTTGTTTTTTTTTTTTTTAAAGATTTTATTTATTTGAGAGAGAGAGAGAATGAGAGATAGAAAGCACGAGAAGGAAGAGGGTCAGAGGGAGAAGCAGACTCCCTGCTGAGCAGGGAGCCCGATGCAGGACTCGATCCCGGGACTCCAGGACCATGACCTGAGCCGAAGGCAGTCGCTTAACCAACTGAGCCACCCAGGCACCCTGTTTCATTTGTTTTTGCAGGAATACTTCTTAGGAACTTCCTTGCATTGTACGAGGAGGCACATAATTTCTAAATACCCCACTTTTATAGATGTCGAGATTTATCTGTGAATTCTGTTTTTTTCCTAAGTCTTAAACCTTTTCCCCTTCTTATTTTATTGCAATAGCCAGGACCTCTAGTACCACACTGAAGGTAAATGCACGAGTATACACCTTTTAACTTGTTCCCAATTTTAATGTGAAAGTTTTAAAAAGTTACTATTGATAAGGTTTTTCCTGTAGTTTTTTAATGCAAGGAAAATTTCATTTTTCATCAAGAAATTTGCTGTGGTTATTATAGTTTTTATGCACACTCTGGTCATCTTATAGTTTTTATGCACACTCCTTCCATTCTAGTTATGGTGCTTTTTTTTAAATGATAAATGTCGAATGTTAATGAATCTTCTTTAATTTATTCATTGCTTTCAACTTAAACCCTTGGAAGAGAAATGAAATTGGAGAGTTTTGCCTAGAGACATAAAGGAGGCCCTTGCCTAGATCCACACTTCAGAGGACTCTACTCTGGCATCTGGCAGTGTCTCTTCCCACAGGGTGAGAATCCACGGTGCCAAGGGGATATGCCCAACCAGAAGACATGCCTCTTCTAGACATGCTTCTTATGCCCAAATAGCTTAGAAATGCGAGGTGGGAAGTTCATGTATACATGTACTCCAGGCATATGAACAAACCCAGGGGTGAGGAAAGGGGCCAACTCTGTAGGTTGCTCTGTAGGTCGGAGGCCAACTCTCCCCGCATTGCCATGTTTTGTCAGAGAACTCCATAAAGTCAGAGAATTTTAAACTCAAACCTTGTCTCCCAGGTCTTTATGAGGGTATGTTTATCAAGAAAAGAGAATAACACATTTTATTGAATGGTTTGGTAGCTTGATTTATAAATTTCAAATACTAAGACAAATAGTATCTGGGCCTCAATTTGCACTCACAGAATTCTGCAAGTGTTGGTGGGGTACCTGACCAGTGAATTTACAACTTGGTTAAAAATTGCATTTCATCAGTGCTATTATGTTTTACAATCTAACATTTTCAGTATGACATCTTCTCTATCACCCTAAACAGTGAACTCAAACACTAGAATACAGAATTAAAAGCTCAGACTTTGGAATACGCCAAATCTTGATTCTAATCTAGGTTCAACCATTTGCTAGCAATATAACGTTGATGAAGTGACTTAATCTAAGCCTCAGTTTCACGTGTAAAATGGGAATCTATCTCATAGGATTTTGGGGAGTATTAAATTATATAATACACATTAAATGCTTAGCATAGTGACTAGCACATGGTAAATTCTCAATAAATTGCAGCTATTTTAAAGAACAGTGTTGAATGCTACTAGCTAGGCACTGTATTAGTTTCTATCACTGCATTGTATCACTAAAATCCCCACAACCGCCCGGATTGGATAGTTATTATCTCCCTTTTATACAAGGAATTAAGGCTTATGCAAATGACCTTTAAAACAACCCTATTAGTAGGGCAGAGCAGTAGAACATATATTAATCCCATTTCATGAAGGAGAAACCTGACCCTCAACTTTCAAAAGACCCGGGCAGCTAGAAACAGGGGGAGCCAAAATGATCAGATCCCAGTCTGACTTCTACCTCAGTACTATTTTAACTGCATGTGAACCACCACCTATGAAATAAAGTTCATATCGCTATTTTGGACAAATGTGTAAAACTACGTGTTGTAAGTTGATGTTCTTAAATATTAAAAAGGGTTCCACTTGTTAGTTTCTTCTTGAGAATAAAGGCATAATGGATTTTCTATTTACTATTTACCAAGAGAAACATTAATGGACTTTAAATTGGGAATTTTTGCTTAGTGGATGTTTCACAAAATTTCAAAATTTACCTAAAGAAAAGTCAATCTCCCCAAACTCATTTTCCACTGGCAAATACCAATTATCTTTCAAAAAAGGTATCTTGTCAGGGCGCCTGGGTGGCTTAGTTAAGCATCTGCCTTTGGCTCAGGTCGTGATCCCAGAGTCCTAGGATGGAGCCCACCTGGGGCTCCCTGCTCAGTGGAGTCTTCTCTCTCTCCCTCTGGCCCTCCCCCCCGGCTCGTGTGTGCTAATAAAAAAAATCTTAAAAAAGAGTATCTTGTCTCTCTCTCAGCTAGAATATAAATATTGCAAGACGGGTTTTGGAGCACCTGGGTGGCTTAGTCGACTAAGCGTCTGCCTTTGGCTCAGGTTGTGATCCCAGGGTCCTGGGATCAAGTCCTGCACTAGCCTTCCTGCTCCTCAGGGAGCCTGCTTCTCCATCTGCATCTGCCTGTCTCTCATGAATAAATAAAATCTTAAAAAAAAAAAAGAGAGGGGTTTTATCTAGTTTGTTCACTGTGTCACCTAGAATTGTGCACATAATAGGTGCTCAGTAAATATTTACTGAATTGACAATCGCAAATTCAGATAAAATCTATGTAGTTTTCTCTGCGCTAGATGCTACAGTGTGATAGCCATACAAAACTCTCGCTACTCAACTTTTTACCTACAAAAGGCACAATTCATTTGGTTCAGCCTGATTGTTTTCAAAAAGCTTTCTAGAGTATATTATGAAGCAAAGTGAACAGATATTACAAAAGCTTAGATAGAAATGGAGAAATTTTTTCTCATAGGAAAACTTATTTTATGAAAGTTACCAAAGGTTCTATGTTAAGATGTTCTCAAGAATCACCTATAACACTCCCAACATTTCAAAAATTAAACTATGTAGGGGCGCCTGGGTGGCTCAGTTGGTTAACCTCAGGTCATGATCTTAGGGTCATAAGATCCATCTGGGCATTGGGCTCTGCGCTGGGCATGGAGCCTACTTACGATTCTCTCTCCCTCTCCCCCCCCCCAATAAACTGCAGCTCCCCGCTGGCTCCCGCACGCTCTCTGTAAAAATAAATTAATTAAATTAAACTAGGTATTTTTTAAGAGGTTCATTTTCACTTTTTCCATTTAAAACTATTCCCCTTTTGGTGTTTATATACATACATGTAAATATGCAAAGTGTCTTAGGAACATGGACTATATTTCTCTTTATTAGCTAATTCTGATTTCATGTAAATGGTCAAATATCTAATTAGGTCCAATTCTAATTATTAGTAATGAGTAAGATAAACTCCAGTTTCCAGAGATCATGTTAAAAAGCTAATCTGGACACAGTACCTTTTCCAGTACTCTAACCTATCAGGCTAAAAAAGTAATTGATATGTAGTTATTCCACATGTATTTTTCTCATCTTTAGAAACACACCTAACATTAATACATTTCTTTAAGTAGATTACTTCAAAACGTATCTTAAACATACTTTTCTAAAAATTTACATAATTGGGATTCCTAAAGAGTAACAGGAAAAGCTTATTTTAGTCAGTTTTACTAATAGCCTTTCCTTCTACATTTCCAAGAAAAATCCAGACATATGCAGATTTACTAATGTCCGTTAAAGAGAAATAAGTTTCAAAATACATCCAAACAAATCTGCTTTACATACCTAGAAATAAAAAAATCTACTTAAACATGATAATTTCCAACTTTTATAAATAATTTTGTCTATCCAGACCTTAATATCACATAACTAAACATTCCAAAAATCAGAACTCTTGAAAATATATGAAACAAAGAATATGGGTTACAGAAAATTTTAATATCAAATAAAGTACAATTTACATGATTAAAAGTTCTGATTTCCATATAAAGTATTCTACTTAAATGGTGTAAGAGACTAACAAATAACAAAGCACAGTTTCCATGTCACATCAAATGAAATGCTGATGGCCTATAAACTAGACAATCTGCCACGAATGACAACAAGCGAGGGAAGCACATATCAGCAAGTTTCTTTCCAAGCTATCAAAAATGTCAAGTTCATATTTTTCTTGTTTGTGATCCCAAAACCGGCAGCATCTTCATTTCATCCACTCTGTTCTTATGTATTTGAAAGGCAGGTGTTATCCATCGACCACATGAGCACTGTTCACCATACCAATTGAAAGAACCCAACTTGGCATTGCATTTGGGGCAAAGAAGCTGAAATAAAGGAACTGTGTTACTTCATTCACTCACTTTTATACAAGACAAATAATTATCACCGGCAATATAGGATATAAAAACAGGTAAGACTCAGTTAAGCATTGGACTCTTGATTCAGGCTCAGGTCATGATCTCAGGGTCATGAGATTGAGGCCCACCTTGGGTTCCTTACGCAGTGGGGAGTCTGCATCTCTCCTCCCTTTCCCTCTGCCCCTCCCCTTCTCTCCCTCTCTAAAAACACAAACAAAACAAAACAAAATAAAAACCAGGTAAGACATGGCTCCCACCTTCAAGGAGTTTTATGATCGGATCAGCAAGATAAAATACAACAGCAATTTACCATAACAGATGGTGGACTATGATAATTGTGTAAGAAGCACGTTGTATGCTGGGAGTTTGGAGAAGGACCAGATTAATCCCAGTATGGGGGGGAAGGTAAAGGTTGAGATATGATGCAAGATTTCAGGATGTGAAAGGTATGTGTTGCCTTTTAAATCAGTCTGCAGCTTAATATCTCAAACTAAGATCATCAAGGCCGAAGACTAGGAAAGCATGTTAGGAGCCTCATGTCAGATCAGTACTGATATTGGTAGCATGTAGGCTAGGCCTCAGATTTCATGGCTATTTAAAAACAAACTGATACTCCAGTAAAATAGATAAATAAAAAAAAAACCTGAACATGCCTATTATTTGTATTCTGATGTATTCAGAGCATTATTTTTTAAGTTTAGCCTGTTATTCTGTGCATGACATGAGGCAGGGAGTCTTATTTTTAATCTTAGATGATATAAACTCTGGACATAAAACTCAGAAACCAAATTTGATTACAGAAGTATCTTAAATTTTAATATGACAAAATATACCACAAAGCTGAAATAAGCAACAGACAGAAGATATTTGCAATACATTAGAAAAATCTTTAACATCTAGACTACATAAAGAGATCCTATAATTCAATAAGAAAAAGGCAAAGTCCATAGAAAAATGGACCAAGGATGTAAAGGAAATTTATAGAAAAAGAAGCTATAAATAGCTGATAAATACATAACAATATTGATCCTCAGCAGTAGACATGGAAATTCAAATTAAAACATTTTAAGAAAAACATTTTTCATGTCCCCGACTGACAAAACTTTACCAGTTTTATAATACCCATTACGCCAAGGGTATGGAGAAATGGATACATGCATTCAATGTTAGCGAAAAGCAAATTTGTATAAGGATTTTTATTGTCAGGGTGGAATATTAGCAGTATTTAAGACATACACATCCCTCCACAGGACAGGGATTCCACTTTTAGGTCTACAGGAACATTCAAATAAGTGTACAGAGAAGTATGCACAAATGTGACGTAGAATCTTCCATAAAAATGCCTTCATCTTATATGTTTTCCAGGCTAAATAAGAGCAGCAAGCCAAAAGCACAAGCCACAAAAGAAAGCAAGCAAGAAAGAAAAAAACAGATAAAGTATATTTCAAAATTAAAAACCCTACTGCTGCAAATGATACCACCAAGAACGGGAAGTGACTGCTAACGGGTATAGCGTTTATTCTGGGAATGATGAAAACAATGATGTTGCAAAAATTCTGTGAATATTCTAAAAACCACTGAACTGTACACTTTAAATGGGTAAATTATATAGTATGTGACTTACATCTCAATAAGCAGAATTGTCTGAAAACATGGGTTTGAATATAAAGTACCTCTTTTTAGGCAAGATGCTAACATAAACTGTTTCCTCACATATAACTATATACGTTCTACCTATTTTGTACATTATTGTATTCTTCAAGTGAAATATAGTGAGTTTCATAAAATTTTTATTATACAAACCATAAAAACCTTTACAATCATTAAGACTCACTGTATCTTAGATTAAGAATATCTTTAAATTAATATTAAGTAAACCTAAAGGAGAAATGTGGCCATCCCAGGATGCTCTCATGAGCTGCATTCTTAAGAATAGGAAAATGAAAATGAATCTCTTAGCAAACATACTGAACCGAAATATCAGGAAAAAAGAGAGAAGAGCCAAAAGAGAAAAAGGAAGAGAAGAAGAGAAAGAAACTTTAAATATAATTTTAAAATCCTTGATTTGCCCTACTTGTTACCAAGTTTGAATTTGTTAAATATATTCTAATCGGCTTACATTAGTCTATTTGAAAAAATACAAATAGCCTTAAAAGGAATTAACTTAGACCAACAGCTCTCAACCAAAAGTGGTTCACTACTTTAGATGGGCTGGATTTTTACTTACTTAATTAATTTGATAGACTCTTATCTGCCCTAGAAAGATACAATCTTCATAAGGAAAGTACTTATGATAGAGTGAAACACCAGTTAAAATACGGTCTAGAGGGCAAGAAACAACAAAATATAGATGACATAATGAAACTGCAGAAAATAAAATGTGTTCTTACCTGTCCATCCATCACGCCCAACAAAGCAGATTCCATCCACTGTACAGGTTCAATGAAATACGATGTACATTGAGCCGGACTCCCTGTGGCGGGTGTGAAAGATGGTGTCACTCTCTTGTGGGCAAAGGCTATGGGACCACTTCCTTCATTATGATCCAAAATGCTCGAACTTCGAAATAAAGATCGCCTGCAACCCCCAAACAAAAACATTAATGACTTCCAAAAGGATGAAAAAATAGATGAAATGTGCAGTGTTTCTTAGCAAAATAAAAATGGATCATGCTACTTTAATTTTCAATAACCTCTACAAGTAACCTGATTTACTTTCACTCTTAAGAATTTATATTCTTACATAAATGGTGGCTCAGTCGTTAGCGTCTGCCTTCGGCTCAGGTCATGAACCCAGGGTCCTGGGATCGCGCCCCGCATCGGGCTCCCTGCTCAGCGGGAAGCCTGCTTCTCCCTCTCCCACTCCCCCTGCTGGTGTTCCCTCTCTCGCGCTCTATCTCGTCAAAAAATAAATAAAATCTTAAAAAAGAACTTACATTCTTCTTAAAAGCAGCTTTGAATTTGAAATTTTTATTTTGTTCAATTAAACAAATTCTTCCTACAGATTTTAAGAAAATGAAACTTTTAGTACATTTTGGCTACTGAGACAAGATAAAATCTCCAGAGGATAGAAAATATTTTACCTGCACTTTCTACACTTGTAGAGAATGCCATCTTTCAGTCCTTGTGAAATGGTGGTTGGGTCAACAGCAAAGAGTTCTTGAGGTAAGTTCTGTAATTCTACATGAGGTAATTAAAATGTAACTGTTGAAATCAACTCTGCATTTTCAGACAAAATTCAGCGAATGTCAAATTGAGGCAAGAAGTGCTAACCTCAGGGGGAAAAAAAAATCTCCAGTGTTGAGAAATCAGGGTGAGGTCAGACAGCATAGTGAAGCAGCCCTGGGGTTCTGAGCAGAGACTGCCTGAGTTCAAATCCCAGCCCACCACTTACGAACCATGTGACCTTGAACAAGTTATTTCTTGCTAAAGCACCGGTTCAGAAGGGAAAAAAAAAAAAAAAAAAACTGTACCTGTCTCAAGGGATTAGTGGAAAAGTGAGATAAAGCACCTGAAGCCTTTAGCATCAGAGTAAAGAGCATCTAAAAAGGGCCCAATAAGTACCAGCAATTATTACTTACCTGGATACTTTTCTGTAACTTTTTGTAAACGATATTGCTTATAAATTGCACTAGAAGTATCTACTTCATATCCCATTGCCTGGTATAATTTCAGTTGCCACTCAAATCCCTCATTCACTCTGTAAGGACAAACAAATACAAAGTTAAGTTTTCTCTAAATGGATAAAATCACATCAAAAAAACAATTATTTCTGTAACAAAAAACTCACTTAGCCTCTGGTTTGATGATCTGGAGATTTTCATAGGCTTTTTCAAAGGTAAGCTGGTCAGTCTTCATCATAAAAGCAGTTATTATAGCCACACTTCGACTAACTCCTGCATGACTGAAAAAGAGACCTTTAAAATAAAATAGCAAATAGCAGCAATTAAAAAAAAAAAAAAAGCCCAGCTCCCTATCAACGGTAAAGTTCATGTCCACTTCATGTCTGCTTCTTCTACCCAAATAATTCCTTTGCCTCTGAAATACTACCAACACACAAAAGAATTATTCCTTTATTTCCTTAATCTTTTTGAATTCTGAACCATGGAAATGTATTACTTTTTCAAAAATAATTACACTAATTTAAAAAATTTTATAATGGCTTTGGAAAAAATCCAACGCTCCTTTGCTCTTGGCATTAAAGGCCCTGAAATCTGGTCCAGGCTTCTTTCCATTTTACCACCACCTTATGTCCTTTATGTAAATATTTACAGCAAGTACTGGCACGCAGTAAAAGCGCTGACTCAGTAAATTTAAACTAGTTATTACATTCCAATGAACTAAAGAGGACTATTAAGAATTCCCAAATACCTATCAAGATTTTCTTATAGGCATTGCTACAACTTACTCCCATCTCTCCCCTGGGCATGGCTTTGGGCTCCTTTATGTCCTAACCAATTTTCCTCTCCCCATTTCTCTTCACCAACCAGCCTCTGCCCAAACAAAAAATCTGCTTTTCCTTTGACGTTTGAATAACCTCAACCTTCGTTCATCTCTTTTAGTACACGACTGGCATCCTAATCTGCATTACAGTCATCCGGGTAGGTGTCTGGCTTCTCCCAAGAGCCTTTTTTGTTGTTGTTTTTTAAGATTTTATTTATTTGAGAGCTAGAATGAGAGAGAGAGCATGGGGGGGGAGGGTCAGAGGGAGAAGCGGACTCCCCGCTGAGCAGGGAGCCCGATGCGGGACTCGATCCCGGCACTCCAGGATCATGACCTGAGCCGAAGGCAGTCGCTTAACCAACTGAGCCACCCAGGCGCCCCCCCCTTTTTTTTAAGATTTTATTTATTTATTTGACAGAGGGAGACACAGCGAGCGAAGGAACACAAGCAGGGGGAGTGGGAGAGAGAGAGAGAAGCCGGCTTCGGGCCAAACAGGGAACTCGATGCGGGGCTCGATCTCAGGACTCCGGGATCATGACCTGAGCCGGAGGCAGACAGACGCCCAGCGACTGAGCCACCCAGGCGCCCCCCGGAGAGCTTTTAAAGTCTTTTTAGGTTCAGGGACCTTGCCATCTACCAGACCCCACTAAAAAACAACTCGGGGATGGGAGGGGGGACTGCAGAATGAACCAACGAAAACAAGTACGAATCAACAAAACAAGAATGAGTGAGAGCAAGCACGCCAACGGGGGCCCGCCTCCTGCCCCTCCTCTCTCTCGGACACACGCCAGGCGCGGAAGGGACGGAGACGAGCTTCTGGCGGTCTGACAGCCCCTTCGTCCTCCCCTAGGGTCCTCGGAGGAAGGGGTGGCGGCGGCAGGCTGGAAGCGGGGCCGCTCCCCCCCGTGCGGGCCACTCACCAGTGCACCAACACCGAGCGGCCCTCGGCGCGGGCCCGGCTGATGAAGGCCACGCACCGGTCCAGATGGCTGAGCAGGTCAGTCTCGGGCTTGTCCAGCGCCGACACGAAGAGGCTCCGTAGACCCTCCATCCCCGCCCCCGACTTGAAGTCGGGCTCCTCTGAGTCCACCGTCAGCACGGCCGTGATGCCCGCCTGCCTCAGGTGGTCCGGCTCCGCCACGGCCGCGGCTCCACCCAAGTACAGCCCTGGCCGCACCTCCAGCATCTGCCCCGCGGAGCTGGCGCAGCTCCGACTGTGCACCCGCCGCTCGCAGCCATGGCTCCCTGCCTGAGCCTCCAACATGGCGGCCGCCACGGGCCAAGCGGGCAGGGGGCCCTACCATGGAGTAGGCGGCCGGCTAGAACGCCCTCTTCCGTGACGAGCCGGCCTGAGATGCGCAGGGGCTCCCTCGGAGGACCACGGCGACCGTGGGAATGTGTACTACCTGGGGAAGGCGCCGGGCGGCTGAGGCCCAGCCGGCTTCAAACCCGCGTCTGGCCGCAGCTCTCGCAACTTGATGGTAGCAGATAAACTTCCCCAAATACAGGGTTTCCCAGGCTTTTCGTGCTGAGGCTTTACGGAAAGGGACACCAACAGCAGCGGGACCCAAATTTGAAATGATGGTCCCACCGACTGAATCAGCAGTATCATTTTATGCATTTGGGGTAAAACAGGGTTTTTTTCCCCAAGATTTATGAAGCCATTCGTTTATATTTCTTCTCTTGTGACAATTTTTTTTTCTCTTTGTCCAGTATTTTTATTGGCCTGTGAATCTCTTGTTGATGCGTACTGTCCTATATACTTTGAAGATAGTAATCCCATGGTCTTGTATGCCCGTACCCTCCAACCGAAGACCACCAGGAACCTACATCACTTTATCATTTGTATGTTCACTGAAGTAGCATTTTTAATTTCCTTCAAGAACTTTTCTTTGCATTCACATTTTAGCTAATTGTTTGGCACAGAAGGCTTAGTTTTCGGCCTATCTTGGCTTTTGACATGCCTCCCCCACTAAACTTAATCATTTCTAGCTTCTGCCTTAAAGTGAGAGATGTGTGAGTCTTCCTTTCACTTGAACATTTAGAGACCCTTGTAGGATGATTAATTGGCTGCTGTCAGTATTGTTGTGTCTCGGGGACTAGGGAGGCCTGTGGAGAGGGAGGGAGATTGGGGGAATGACTGGTCTGTGGAGCAGTGAGAACATATATAACATTTGTTAAATTTGTTGTCTTGTATAGATGTGCTTTGTGGCACCCGAAAGCAATTACAATAGTTAACATCAAAGATGACTGGTCAGAGATCACCATAACAAATATGATAATAATAAAATTGTTGAAATGTTGGGAGAATTGCCAAAATGTGGCAGAGACATGAAGTGAACAAATGCTAAATGCTATTGGGAAAACAGTGCCAATACGCTTGCTCAATGCAGGGCTGCCACAGACCTTCAATTTGTAAAACATGGAATACTTGTGAAGCATATATAACACAGGTATGCCTGTATAGGATTTGGGCTTATATTAGGTGATTTTGGACAGAGTCCAAGGAAGCAGGGCTTTACTCTGGATCGGACGCTGTCAGGAAGTGGCGGTGATTCTAGGATTGGGTATCTCAGTGCGTTTTCCCTATAGGGAGAGAAGGCTACATAGATGCTACAGCTGTAATTGGTCAAGAGGCAGCAGTCCTGGTATTGGCATAAAGACAGACACATGGACCAGTGGAACAGAATACAGAGCCCAGAAATAGACCCTCACATATATGCTCAAATGATCTTCAACGGGTGCCAGTGGGAAGATGGAGAAAAATAGCCTCTTCAAGTGGTGCTGGGAAAACTGTATATGCACATGTCAAAGAATGGAATGTGATCCCTACCCTAAACAATATACAGAATTAATTCAAAATTGATTAAGGACCTAAACATAAGAGTGTAAAACCCAGGGCTCCTGGGTGGCTCAGTCAGCTGAGCATCCGACTCTTGATTTCGGCTCAGGTCATGATCTCAGGGTCATGGGTTGGAGCCCAGCATTGGACTCCACACTCAACAGCAAGTCTGCTTGTTCCTCTCCCTCTTCTCCTCCCTCTGCTTGTGTTCTCTCTCTCTCAAATAAATAAATAAAAATCTTTAGGGGCACCTGGGTGGCTCGGTCAGTTAAGCATCTGCCTTCAGCTCAGGTCATGGTCCCAGGGTCCTGGGATTGGACCCTGAATTGGGCTCCCTGCCCAGCGGGGAGCCTGCTTGTCCTCTCCTGCTCCTCCTACTTGTGTTCTCTCTCTCTCTGTCAAATAAATAAATAAAATCTTTTTTAAAAATCTTAAAAGATTATAAAACTCCTAGAAGAAACACAGAAGTAAATCTTCATGACAGGATTATGTCAAAATTTAAAATTTCTGCACATCAAAGGGAATAATCAAAAGAGTAAAAGGGCTACCTATGGAATGGGAGAAAATAATTGTCAATCATATATCTGATAAGAAATTAATATCCAGGGCGCCTGGGTGGCTCAGTCGGTTGAGCGACTGCCTTCGGCTCAGGTCATGATCCTGGAGTCCCGGGATCGAGTCCCACATCCGGCTCCCTGCTCGGCGGGGAGTCTGCTTCTCCCTCTGACCCTCTTCCCTCTCATGCTCTCTGTCTCTCATTCTCTCTCAAATAAATAAATAAAATCTTTAAAAAAAAAAAAGAAATTAATATCCAGAAAATATAAAGAACTTTACATGGGTGATACCAGCATCATGGCTGAATATGTTCCTCATCCATGCCCTCCCACCCCAACAACAAGTTGACATCCATCCACAGGCAAAAGGGTCTTGGTAGGAGCTGTGAAATCCTGCACCATATGCCAAGGGACCCAGGAGGAGTCTTGCCCTCCTGTGTGTGAGGTAATAGGCACACGGACCTTGGTCCTGGCTACAGACCCTACAGTGGCCTGTGAACCATCTTCCCCCTTGGCTCTGGTCAGGGAGCCTGCAGAAAACACTGACTTAGGGCACCTGGGTGGCTCAGTTGGTTAAGCGACTGCCTTCGGCTCACGTCATGATCCTGGAGTCCCTGGATCGAGTCCCGCATCCGGCTCCCTGCTCAGCGGGGAGTCGGCGTCTCCCTCTGACCTTCCTCCCTCTCGTGCTCTCTCTCTACCATTCTATCTCTCTCTCAATAAATAAATAAATAAAAATCTTAAAAAAAAAAAAACACTTAGATAATCAACAGGGATAGGAGAGCCTTTGTGGAAACCCAGGTTTCCAGCAGAGAAGTTCTAGGAGACAGTTGGAACAAAAAATGTTTGGATGCATCGGAGAGGGTAAGATGGACTTTCCTCACATCCCTCCTCCCCCAAGGCAGCACAGCTCAGGGCCAAGAGAGGTCTCCTGGGCCTGAGCTTCATCCTGGGGGGTGGATGGGGGGGCAGTGAGAGCATGTGAGTGAGTACTGGCTTCCTCAGCTGCGCAGGAGCTACAGAAGAGGCTCATTGCTCTCTTGCCCCATGCAGAGTACTGAATCATGAGCTGTAAGATCATGGTGGGGGGGCGGATGGAGGGAAGAGGCTGGGAGAGCCACACAGAGGACTCTCAGAGGGCACTAAAGGGACATAGGTCCTACTAAGTGATTCAACAGGCTCCATCAAGAAGCCTGCCCAGGAGTTGCTAGAGAGGCCTCGCCCCTGGATCCCCCTATCTGCCCATGGGCAACCTTACAAGTCAGGAGAGAAAGGGATGATATATGAAAAGTGTTGAAAGAAAGAAAAAAAAAACTGTCAAGAATATTCTATCTGGCAAAGTTGTCCCTCACAAATGAAGGACAGGTAAAGACTTTCCTGGAAAAACAAAAGCTGAGAGAATCCACTAGACCTGCCTTTGTTGAAAGAAACTCTTCAAGCTGAAACCAAAAGATGCTATTTAGTAACATGAAAATACACAACACATTGTTAAGAGTTACCTATATAGTCAGGTTCAGAATAATACAGTGATATGGTGATGCGGAAGCCACTCAACTCTAGTATAAAGGTTAAAGGATGAGAGTATTATAAGTAACTAGAGCTATAATATTTTGTTAATGAATACACAATATAAAGAGGGGTTGGGGCACCTGGCTGGCTCAGCCGGTTGAGCGTCCAACTCTTGGTTTCAACTCAGGTCCTGAGATCAAGCCCCACATTGGGCTCTGTGCTCAGTAGGGAGTCTGCTTGAGATTCTTTCTCTCCCTCTCCCTCTGTCCCTCCCCCTGCTCTCTCTCTCTCTCAAATAAACAAATGAATTTTTTTTTTTTTTAAGACGTTAGGGGCGCCTGGGTAGCCCAGTCCGTTGGGTGTCTGCCTTCGGCTCAGGTCATGATCCCAGTATCCTGGGATGGAGCCCCGCGTTTGGCTCCCTGCTCAGCAGGGAGCCTGCTTCTCCTTCTGCCTGCCTGTCTGCCTACTTGTGATCTCTCTGTCAAATAAATAAATAAAATCTTTTAAAAGTAAATTAAAAAGAGATTAATTGTGACATCAAAAAATCAAAACGGGGAGTATACTAAAAGGGTGGAGCTTTTGTATGGATTAGTTATCGGTGCCAAATAGACTGTTATAGTTATGTTTTATATCAGCCTCATGGTAACCACAAAACAAAAACCTACAGTAGATACCATACAAATGAGATAAAAAGCAGGGAATCAAAGCATACCACTGGGAAAATCATCACTTCATTAATGAAGGAAGCAAAAAAGGAAGAAAGGAACAAGGGAACTACAAAACAGCCAGAAAATAATTAATCAGACTGCAGTAGTCAGTCCTTACCTTCCAGTAATCATTCTAATTGTTAATGGATTGAAGTCTCCAATTAAAAGGCACAGAGTGGTTGGATGGATAAAAAGGCAAGACCCAAGTATATGCTGCCTGCAAGAGAATCACTTCTGCTTTAAAGACACACATAGGCTCTACGTGAACAGATGGAAAATGATACTCCATTCAAGTGGAAACCAAAAGAGCACAGGGGTAGTTATATCAGATAAAATTGACTTCAAGCCAAGTAACAAGGGACAAAGATGGTCATTATGTAATAAGGGGGCCAATTTATCAAGAAGATATAACAATATTAAATTTACATGCACAAAATCAGAGCTCTTGGTACATTAAATACTAACAGATCTAAAGGGAGAAATAAATAGCAATAGAATAATAGTAGGGGACTTCAATCCTCTACTTTCAACAACAGATAGATCATCCAGGCAGAAGACCAACAAGGAAATGTTGGAATTGAGCCATATTTTTGACCAAATGGATAACCTAACAGACATATACAGACCATCCCATCCAATGGCAACAGAATGCATATTCTTCTCAAAAACCCACAGAACATTCTCCAGCATGGATCAAATTACAGGTCTCAAATCAAGTTTTAGGAAATTTAAAAAGATTGAAATCATACCAAGTATCTTTTCTGACCATAATAGTATGAAATTAAAAACCAGTAAC